ATCAGACCATTGTGGACCTGACACTGCCTTTCGTTGAGAAGCGTGAATATTCGTGGCCGTCTAATAGCTGGGATAGGGTTGTGGAAGCAAGCGCAAGCTCACACGCCATGCTTCGCTACCTTATGCTGGAACTTTCACAACAATATCCAGATACGGCACATCCTATGCATGTCATGCATCCACTGACACTCATCGGCAACCACGCTATTGGAAACTTGATTTCGAGGAGCGGGCATGCTGAAGAAGAAAAATATTACCTTCGATTTTGTCTGCGAATGCTGAAACACATGAGCATGACTTTTCCAGTAGCCGTAAAAGTGACAAGGGCACTACAGCAGGCCGCATGCCACCTAGACCTGGTGACTTAGTGGCTTCAGACTGCGAATCATTAGTCAATATCACATGAGCCCGACATGCTCAGCAAAACTTGGTCACTCAATCAAACCGCCCGAATGCGTTTTCAACATCAGTCAGTAAATTTTAGTGACTCAGCTAACCGATTGCATCAACCATTAATTCATCTCTAGTCCTGTGGTTGGAATTGGCCACGTAGCCATGACCTCACATTCCAAGGCTGCGAAATGCGAGCAGAGGATGCGTGACTTAGCTTTTGGAGAGGGGGCATACGGAGCTGAACCTATCGAGAGGACGAGGAATGACTTTCAGCTGAGGCCATATGGAAGCACCGTCAATAAGGAAGAATTGGCCTTAAAGGAACGTTCAGCAGGAACAGCGTCGTCGGACTTCTTGCTCCAAAATGTGCCCGAAGAGTCAAAAAAATTGACCACCATAAAGTGACTGGGAACCTTGAAGGATTGGTAGATGGGAAAGAGGTGGTCATGATCTGCGGCGCGTCTAGTACAGCGGCGCCGATATAGCCTATTCAGTACGAAGCAGGAATTGCTTTACGAGAACAAGCAAAGCCGTGGTTTTGCTGTTTGAGCGGGTGCTAACTCTTACAAGGTCCAGCCCGTTTGAACTTTTACTGCCGGAATGAAAATGCCGATATAACCGTTCCAAGCCGCAGTCTGCTGCGGACCACAAGCTCTCATTTGATAGCCCTCCATCTAGCAGTCGGTCGATCACCCCTAGCACGAAACCTTCGTAGCCGTTCCGACCAACAGTCCAGGTCCATTCTCAAAAAACGCCCAGGCGGCGCCGCTATCAGAGCAGAGGTCGAAGTGAACATTCGCGCCCTCCAAATTCGTGGCACTCAGGCTCGACTGGCTGCAGAGAGCGTTGTCGTTACCGGCAGGGCACAGATTGTTCACCTTCACAGTCACGCTGTGGGAGCCGGAGACGAGATACCAGCAGGTGCCACAGGCTGGTCCCGCGCCTTGCCCTCCACCTACGCCGTAGAGATTCTGGGAGACGGCGGCGGAGTAGCCGTTGACGTAAAGGCCGCAGGCACCTCCGTTGTTGCAGTTAGGGGAGTTATATTTGTCGCCTGGTGCAAATGAATTTTAGTAAAGATGAAATTGCGGACGTGTCTTCGTGAGACGAGGAGTACTCACCTGAGCCGTAATGGGTGAAGGAGCTCTTGTAAGTCTGAGCAGTAGCCAATGCTAGCGCAGAGGCAGCAAGGAGCAACTGACTGGCGTGCATTCTGGTTTGGGTGGATCGCAAGGTATCGACTGTAGAGTGGATGCAAGAAAGGAATGATAAGGAGGGAACGCCAAGTTGATGTTGCTAAGTTCAAGTGGGTCTTGTAGAGTAGATGAGGGTAGACGGTGGTTGGAGAAGACATTTCCATAGCTATATACTCTATCGACTACTTCCCGATCCCTCATACAGTCAGAGCAACATCGTTCTCACAACGCTGTATTGGGCGCATCCATTCTGTAACGGAGAGTTCACAATACTATGTGGTAAGGGTGCTGAAGTATGAAGGCCGTGACTTGTTCGTTGCTGTTCCGCTACTGTATTGTGGCTCTATAGTGAAGGTAAATGCGTGCTTGCGTGACTGTGTTCGGTGGTAAGTACTCAGCCATCGAAGCCGCGCACGACATCATTCATGGTGACAGCATGAGCTTCTCCATCTCGTGTAGAGGGTGCAATCAAATATGGAAGCTACTGCAGACGCAGCTCGCTTGATATGTCAGGATTGCTGGGGAACGACGTGCCACAGCAGGCGAGCCATTCTTGGCAATCCCGAGCTCCGTTCATCCTGGTCGCAACCTCCTTCTTCACACAGATCACCTCCTTGGTCGCGAAGGTGTCTGTATACATAAAAGGTATGTTCGCGAGCCAGAAGCACAAGTACACCGCATGTCTGGCGGAGGAGGAAATGAACGGTTCCAGACGGCCACAACCTTGAAGTATTCTACGCGCTCTAGCATACGTACAACTGACCGACAGATCTTCTGCACATACCTGCATCCGATGCGACTTACATGCTGCCACGGATTGCTGCTCGTTACACAGCCTAAGCCCTCGTCCCAAACATGGCCCTGGTGCGAGGGATGTATCCCTTCGCGCGAGCTATCTGACGCATGTAGGTGGCACAAACCACTTCTCTGGAGAGTTCTCCGATTATCAGAGCGCTACGAAAGGTTGAGGCAGTGGCTCTGACCGCAAGACCTCAATCTCGGTCCAGTCGTAGTATACGCCCCCATGCATTGGCTCTGTTCTTGAAGATACCGTACCTGCTCCTTACACAGAAGGAACTCGCCAAGGCAGTGGTGGTTCGATCATTTGCGTATCGATATAGGTAATATCATTTAGGAGAAGACAAGGCATCAGCGTACCACGAACTATTCAAGACTGCCGTGCAGGTCGGCCTGCATCCTGCTGCGAAGATTGCTCGTAAGGAGATGGACAACAACAGCAGCATTGCTCCGGGCGATAAATCACGACTACCCAAGGCGGCAAGCAGGATGAAGTTGACGACAGTAGCGTGCTACAGGTGTCGGCTCGCTAAAGCGAAGGTTAGTCGGACGATCATCGGACCGCCTCCATCTTGCTTGTGACATTGTTATGTGCATTGGAATCTGAGTTCCGAAACTGACACTGCGACCTAGTGTACTGGTGAGCGACCAGCATGCACACGCTGTACAGCGAGAGGGCTCCTTTGCGAGTATGAAGTCGGGCGGGAAGGTGTCAGTCGCATACAAGAGCTGCGAAGACAGCTGGGATAGGCAAATCAGGAATTGGAACTGCTACGGTGGGATCTCGCTGTCAAGACCGATGTGATACGGAGGTTTCAGACCGGCTTTGAGCACAGCAGCGCGATAGCAGATGACATTGTTCCCATCCACGACCACCGGAACCAAAGTGCACCGGATTTGCCCTCATGACTCGGTATGGACCAGCAAGAAGTGGACGGCGATTTCAGTTTGGCACAGCAGCTGTATACACTGCTCAATCAACCTCAGCGGACACGAGAGGGCGTCGATAGGCTACTACATCTTTGTCGGCGACGGCTGAAGAGGAGGACGGCCAGTGTGACCGAGTTTGTTAGTCTCCTGCGACAAACTTCAAGCTGTACTACTATTCGCGCCTTCATCTTATAGCTATATGGCTTTTATGAAAGGATAGCGACTAGCCGCGAGAGCTGTTTACGGGTGGCATACTTTATCGCGTGCCTTCTGTAACGTCGTTTCTGCGCAATCAAGAACATGAGGGCTAAGTGGGAAACATGAACAAACCGAATTGGGACTGGACCCTCTGTTCGCGCTACGGCACGGGTCGAGCGGATCGATCGCTTAGCCCAGCTCCGTGTAGTTCATCTTCATCCCGTTGATGTGCCTGCCATGCTGCAACGGCCGCAAGCAGATGGCTGTGTCGTTGATGGATCCACCCACTCTAAAGCAGTGGCTCAAGCGCCAACCAAACAGGAGAGGGTAGATAATCCCTGGGGCGACGATGAGCTTCACGTGGTCATTAGCCCGGATAGGTTAGTTCCAAAATCTCCCATGAGTCATTACGGTCGTTCCAGCTCGCAGACTTGGTCACCTACCATCAACGAAATCGCGCCTCAGCTGCCGCATCAGCCGCCGCATATGTGAGGTTAACCAGCGACATAAAACACTCGACATGCTCATTGTTCTGGCGAACATGGCCTGGAATCTACACGACGTAACCGCGCGACAGACCTCAGCGCGAAGAAACCAGGGTATTAACGCCGTATGCGTCGAACTTGGCCTCACCATAGTAACAATTGACAGTGAAAAAGCGTCTCACCCGGAAGCAAGGAAGGGAAGGAATAGCTCCACGAAGAAGCACACGCCTGGAAGAGGGTCGCAGAAAACAAATTGCATTGGGGGAAAGTCAGAAGGATTGGGAACGCCTGCCTTCAGACTGTGGTAGGCCCGAGAAAGACGTACGTATGAGTCGTCCAGCTTTGACATGGAGCTAATCCAAGCTAACCTTGAGCAGAAGTATTTGTGCACTCCCTCATCTCCTCTACGGAAACGCAAACGGCTGCAAGACAGTGAAGAACCGCAAGACGATACAACGTCGAAAGAGCTTTGGAAGCGAGCACGAAGATCTGTTGCAGCGGAAGAGACTTTGGAACACCACACGTCAAGCGGCGCGAGCGAGGACGACAAGAATCCGATAGGACACTGGACTCGGCACAGACGCTGGCCTAAAGAGTACTTTGAGCAAGGCAGCAATATGAGCTACCTAATCGCACGGAAGAAGTCGGCGACGTCATTAGGCCGGAAGAAGTCGGACTCAAGCTCTGTGACACCAAGCTCTACCACGCCCAGTGATGAGAAGCCAAGAGAGGCCAAGAGTGCTCCTTACGCACGCTCGAGCTACGCGACCATACTTGCGACCAAGGGTAGCTTTATGGATGAGTCTGAGCGAGACATCACGGACACATGCAAGAGCCTTTGCAGTGACTTGCTCGAGAGCGAACAGACACCTCCTCTGGAGTCACTGTTCCGTGACGACCTCTTTAAGACAACGTGCCGCAAGATCAGAGATAGGAATGAGACTATTGTTATTCGGGACATTGCTCTTTTGATCGTCCCTTCTGCCCAGACCCTTGCAACATATGGCGCCGCACATCTGGAGCGGTTGACAGAGAGTGTCAATGAAGGCTGGAACAGCGCTATACCCATCTACGGCCCTCGTCCACAGTCTGATTACTCAGTAGGATTTGGGCGATATGCGTTCACCGACGACCAACTCGAAAAGCTCAAACCTTTTGTTGGCGACATCGCAGAGACATGTACTTCCTATTTCATGGCCACATGGCGGATGTACTTCCCGTTCTTGACGTGCGAAGTGAAGTGCGGCGCTGCGGCACTCGACATCGCCGACCGCCAGAACGCGCACAGCATGACTATAGCGGTGCGGGCTGTCGTGGAGCTCTTCAGATATGTCAAACGCGAGAAGGAGGTCGACGGAGAGATCCTCGCCTTCTCCATCTCGCACGATCACAGCGTGGTGAGGATATACGGTCACTATGCTGTCATCGATGGAGCCAAGACAATGTACTACCGTCACTCGATCCGCAAATTCGATTTTACAGAGATGGACGGCAGAGAGAAGTGGACGGCGTACAAGTTCACCAGAAACGTCTATGATATCTGGATGCCGAAGCACTTTCAGCGGATATGCTCGGCCATTCACGAGTTCCCACCAGACGTAAACTTCGACGTGTCGCAGCAGTCCGAGCTGCAGTGTACGGAGGGATCTGGACTGTCGCGGGACGTTGAGTTTTACAGTCTAGCACAGTCAAGCGCCGGGTCTGGATCTGCGGAGGCGCAAGCTGACAGTCAATCGAGCGTTGTGGACGCCCAAGACATTACCCCGAATACGTCGTTAACCACAGGCGGGGCATTCAAAAGGCCGAGAACAGAACGTGGTGGTAGAAAGCGTCGCTAAAGGCCAGTCTACCTCGCCCAGGCTCACAAAACAAAGTCGGAACTGGAATTTGTCCATCTACTTGGAACATGTCGTTCGCTAGGGTACAACGCCTCTCCTTTTTCCTCTTTGATATGGTGTGCTCCTCTGCGTCGCGCGAAGTGCCTCCCTAATCACTTACGGATATCTCGGATATTCATCTCCACCTCTACTCTCCATTCGACATCGTGCGCAGCATCATGCGCTGCTTCCTCCGAGTTAGGCAACCCCCGGCCTGTGACACGAGCATGCGCTGAGCCGCGTTAAAGTACAAAGCTGACGCTCAGCTTACGTGGTCACACAGTCTCCTCACACGTATTTGGGACGTATACTCTCCTCTTGGGATGAAGGCGCTCTTAAATATAGCCTCTGCCCGTGATCAGGTGAATCGACAAGCCTCCCTCGAGCGCGAGATATCTGCATCTATTACAACTCTGGTATAGCTCGCTACCGGTGACCATGGGTGAAGAGATAGCACGGTAGCTGCTAGCAGGTAGAGCGACGTTACATGTTGAGGACGAGACGCATGTTAGTCTGCTGCTGAATTATAGGAGGCGTATGTTGAAGGAGCTCGTTGGTTAGGGCCTGATTATTGTTAGGCGACCGCATGCACGAGATCAGCTCCGCGATCAGAGGTCTCCGCTCGATGATGTACTCTTCACAACCGGCTTTCCTCACACCACAGTATCGTTGCGGGAATCCATCGATCCCACGAAGGAGCTTCTTCCGCCAGAATGATGAGCTGTCAATAGAGCGATGCCCTTTTGCGGCTGCACAGTTGGGTAGCGAGAGTAACTACATGGCGTTTGGTATGCGCAGACGTGCAGAACGTCCTTGCGAACGAGGACGAGATAGATGATGGCAAAAAAGCATGAAGTGGTGACGTGGGTAAACGATTAACATCACATACTCAAAGCCGTACCCTACTGTAGACCTTCTCGACCAAGTCATCACAGCGACGATGCTGATCCTGCCCACAGCCATGACGTTGCCAATAATTCCCTCTCTTCGCGATTGCACCGACTCCAGCAAGACCGTCGAGCCTTACCTCCCACAACTCCACGTCCTGCCGAACCAGCTCTATGCCACCATCAAAAACATGGACGGGCTGAAGCACCTCACTCCTCTACGAACCCCATCATGTCCGGCCTCGCATTATCGCTTGCCCTCTTCCCCATCTTCTTGATTGTCTCTGAGGTGGACAAGAAGTACAGCCAGGTCGATAGGATCTGGTCGATACTTCCAACGCTGTACAATGCACCGCTACCCGGGCGAGACTAAATACACCTCATATCATCTGAGCTTAACCAGGCTACATTACCAGCTCACATTAGATGACCAAATCATCTTGCAGCCTAATACAGCACGACCTCCCCGACCTCTCCTGCTACATATCGATGCACGATCTTGACCCTGTGGCCTTTCTTGTAACCCTTGTCATACCCGGTGATCAATGGTCGCAACAGTCAACCAACCATTCTTATGATTGACAGGTTGAGCTCTTCAATTACCTCAACCAGTCAACCATAGCTGTAGCTAAACCTCAACCAGTCAACCAGGTAACCCTCTCACCTTTGGTTGACTGGTTGACGTGATTGAGTGAATGGCGGTTTTGAAGTATTTCAAGCCCTGGTTGGCTGATTTTTGATTACGAAAGCGAATCGCGAGACTCGGGATTCCGGATCCAGATTTTTGATCGCGTAATAAGATCACGTGACGAAAAATCAGCCAATCAGAGCACGAAAATACCATTCACTCAACCACGTCAACCAGTCAACCATGGTTGCGCAACCATAGCGATTACCTCAACCAGTCAACCATAGCGCCATCAAGAGCTCAACCAGTCAACCAGGTATCCCCCTCAACCTTGTGGTTGGTTGACTGATGCGACCACTGGCCGGTGATGAAAGCCACCATGCCGTTGTCGATGAACATGAAGAGACATATCGACGCGAAGAGACGTGTGATATCGTACATGTATCGTCGCGGCTACGGCCAGGGTATGATGTGCCTCTGGACGACTGAGGCCCTGCTCTTTCGTACTCGCTGTATCATTCCATTATTCAATTTGAGTACTTTGGTATCACTTGGCTCTGCCAATTGCCAGGCAGTGACAGGGTCTGTAGCCGGCACCACGTACAAGTAGTCTTCGCCGCCAGCCAATATTTGCGCTTCTATGCCGCGTGGTGATGTATTCTAGAATCATCTACGATCACGTGTATGATCCTCCCGCGCGGACCGTCCCTCACCACCCTTGAGACAAATGCGAACGTAATTAAACCAAACGTTCTTAACTACTTCTTTCGTCTTTGTTTTCAACACGTAGGCGACTTGCGACTCATGATGACCAATCCGAGGCGGGTTTACCAGACTCAAAACACTATTCGCTTCTGTATACCTAACCACACAGGAAGTTCACAATAGCACGCTTTCTCCTGGAAGACAGACTTACACAGCAATAGATGCACGTCTACTAGTATCTCGTCTTCAGAAAGTATAACAGCGGCGACGTCTGCTTTTTGATGTAGAAGGTATGCAAGGCAGTATACACTTGTCGGCATGTCGGGATGCTCCTTCACCAGCACCTTCTCACCTCCCTCCAGCGCACGCCAATTCATCTCCTCCGCCGCCTCGTACTTGCCTTGATCCTGCAGCACTCCAGCCAGGTTACTAACGCTCGTCAACGTGTTGGGATGCTCCTTCCCCAATACCTTCTCGTGTCCCTTCAGCGCTCGCGGGTTCATCTCCTCCGCCGCCTCGTATTGGTCCTGGCGAACTAACACCACCAGCGCGAGATCGCTTAGACTACGCAACCATCCTGCCTCGTCTAGTACCTTATGTCGTGCACGTTCGGCTCCTCAAACACCCGCAGCTCGTACTTCTGTTTGCTACTGCCCGGCGGTCCGCACAAATTCGCCAGCGACCGCACCACATTAAGAGTGTGCTTCGGCACTTTCATTCATCCCTTATGCCACTCCCGTAGCCGCGCCACACTGGACGAAATGTGCGGCGTGATCCGGCTTTTTCTCATCGGATTCAGCTGATCATCCTGTATCACCACCTCCGAAAGGGCGAGGCTGCTCTGGCTGTGCCGTCTCTGCTCTTCAGCCTCCAGCCAACCGAAGCCCCAGGCATGCACTAGTTTATGCATTGAGTATCCCGCCTGCTCTTCCTTCCACTGGATCAGCGAGTACGTCAACAACGCCTTTAGCGCCTCATTGAGCACGTCTGTCAAAGGCCTCTCCAGTGACACGAACCTTTCCCAGTCCTTTTCTGCGACCCCATTCTTCGCCGTCAATGGGTCCACCGCATGCCGCAGCAGTTCCAGAGAAATGTCTTCCGGATCGAGGAAGGCAAAGAAGTCCAGCAGTCGGACTGCGACCGGAGTCTGCTTCACGATCGTCGCACACGACGTCACCCATGTGCTCAGCAAACTCTCCCCATATCGATGGATCTGCTGCTTCGCTTTCCGTCCTAGCGGCGCCTACCGTCGGCCTCGGCACTCCAGCAGGTATTCGGCAAGATTCGAGCGGATACGTGGGATCGCCGCCACGTAGGCGCCAGCCAGTGTCACGACCAACGCTAAGTAATCGAGCTCGGCCACGATCAGTGCCGTTCCTGTACGAACAGATCCAGCAGCATCGCCGAGCTTGCTGCACCGTATGAACATGTCCACTGCCTCCGCAGGCGCAAAAGTCCCACCTCTATGGCTTGATCCTCGGTCATACCGACCTTGTCTGGCTGCATGTGGTGATGATGATGATCTCGACACCAGGCGCATAAGGCAGGTAGCGCTGCAAATCGACGAAGTAGGGCCCGCTCTCGTCGTCGAGGCTGTCTGCGTTGTCATGCACCAGCAAACATCTGCCTTGCCGATCTTCGAACCACAGATGCGCAATTTTGCGCCACTTGCTGCTCCAAGACGAACTCTTTCAAAACCTCGTGTAGCTCTCAACCTTTCTCTGCCTGCTTAAGAGGAAGTATGCGTATTCGGTAAGACTCGACTTGATGCAAAATATGTAGTCGCAGCTCTGCGGTCTGGAGTTGGCGGGCCTGGATATGGCTTTTCACTCTCCGCATACGCGGTATAACGAAGTGTTGCAGGAGCGTAGTGATTGAACATTGAAATTCACAGCGCACAGGGCAAGTTGTGCTGGCCCTAGTCAAGCTAGCGCCAGCACAACTTGCTCTGTGCGTTTGATGCAATAGTAGGTAATTACCATTCGCAAAGCGCATGTGCACCTCTCTTCACGCAGCAACATCCTTGATCTTCGTCGCACATCCGTCATCGTTGGAACAATTGATCACGAAACCACTGCCTTGACTGACAGAAGGGATGCTTGACGACTCCACTCGCCTTTTGGCTTCTCCTGAACGTATGCGTTGAGCTTAAGATGTTGCAAGATTCGCCTTCAGACCGGCCACAAATCGCCTCGAAGCAAGATCTCACAGATCTCTGCGAGGTTGAAGACATTGAGACGGGATCTGTGTTACGCACGACGTTCTCCTTCGTTGAACCTACAATAGCGCCTGGTTTGGCCAGGTCTCCGGAGTTCGAAAGTATGACTTGACAGTGGAGGACGTGAGAAAGAATCTTCGTCGGATATCCGACGAGGTCATCTATCCGGAAATGACAGCTGGCTTGACAATTGTTGCGGACGAAAATAATATGAAGCGATACTACATCAAACGGCCCAAGCTCCTTTGCCTTGACGATCTGGAAGAAACTAAACTGCTCCCAAGGATGCTTGTCGAAGAAGCTCAAGTGTTAGAGATCCTCAAGCCTTACGGGCACAGAAATTTGGTGCGATATCATGGATGCATATCGAAACAGGGCCGGATTGCTGTTATCGCTTTGCAGAAATACGATATCGTATTGCAATATAGATTCGACGATGATCCGCGAGCACTTGACGTTACTGCTTGCATGAGCGGTATTAGAGCAGGAATTGGACAACTCCATTCTCTGGGACTTGCGCATAATGATCTTAACCCTCTGAACATAGCTATGGACCAAGACGACCAGCCCATTATCCTCGATTTTGGGTCTTGCAGAAAGTTTGGAGAGGCGCTACTATCTGGAGGGACACCTGGCTGGATCGATGAAGATTACAGCACTTCAGCACGGCATCACGACGAAAGCGCATTGCGAAAGCTGGACCGGTGGTTGTCGAATATTCAATCAGAGAGGATGAGCGAGGCGGAACAGACAGGATGAACAAAACATTCAGGGTTTCCGCATGAGATCATCTTCAGGATCGGTCGAGCTCTATCAGCGCACATGTCAAGATGAAAGACGCATAGCCGAGAAGGAAAGGAGGCCGGATACAAGTTCTAAACCACAAATATACCAGCATAAGACGTCTTGTACGTTTCATCTTCAGCATGCATATCAAATCTTGGTGACGGTAGTCGTAGTTTCTCTGATATCACCTAAGTAATTTGAGGTCGTGTCGGCCTCTGTCCAAGGGCGGGACAGGACATGCGTTGCGCCGCCTGTTTGGGTTCGAGTCTGACGTCGGACAATTTGCTCTTCTGCAGTCAACTCGCCTCACTTCTGTGACCGTTCGACGGCGACCGTTCGCGTCTACGACGACCTTGACCGTAGTGATGTGGGTACACCTGGACGTTCGTTAATGGTCGTCAATGTAGTATTGAAGAGGGCAAGTAATCACATGGTGAGAGTGGATCAGCAGGTATAGATCATTCCGTGTGTCGATTGGCGGGTATGGGTGTGCGTGTTGGGATTCAAGCGTGTATGTCTGTATGTATGTGTTTGATATGAATGAGCACAGTGAATCTGGCAAGACAAACATGTTACCAACAGTTTCAAAGCAAGTGGTAGGCCAATTAGTATTCAAGCCATGAAGCAGAATCAAAGCATGATTCTCCCGTTACTGTAGGATATCACAGCGGCTCATAATCCGATTGGTGGGAGCAAGGACTTGCAGCCTTGCTCTTGACGAAGTCTGTGGCCTCGGTAATGTATCGAGCGCTAGGATTTATAGGATGCTTTCTCAGACATCGAACAAGACATTGGAAGCCATCACATCTACGGCTCCCTCGAAGAAGTTAGCGATAAGTATAAGTACAGCCACCGCGACTTCAACTTCTATCGGCGGCTCCTGGATCTCTTTGCTAAGGGTCAGGATCTCAGCTTGTTAGCAGACACGAAGCAGGCCACCGGCAACGGCTGGGACCTGGATAAGTGGAAGTTCGTTCCTATCGCACACAGGGTGTATGTCGAACAGCCGGACATCAAGTGGTATATCTTCAAGAAGCAGATGCGTACATGGGGTGTTCCAACCTGCTGGAACTGTTGTCAAAATTGGATCCGGACAAGCCATGGTATCTCGGTGCTACGCACTTCTACGGAGACGTCGCGTTCGCCCACGGCGGCATGGGTTACATCATCTCGAATGGAGCGATGCGAATGCTGGACACTATATGGACTCCGCAGAACATCGCTCGGTGGAGCGCCGAACTGCAGCTGGGTGTTGTGGCGACGTCGAGCTGGCGGCTGTCTTGCAAGAAGCTGGTGTGAATATCACAGGAATACCGGGTCTCTACGGTGAATCACTTTCTTGGTTCGAGTGGGGTGAGAGTAAATGGTGTGAGCCGGCTTTATCATGGCATCACGTAAAAGCTCACGACATGGAGTCATTGTGGCAGTTCGAAACGCAACGTCTCGCTGATAACGAGACGCACTACGTCTACTGCGCCCTGTTCCATAAACTTGTCAAGTCGCATCTGGCCAGTACGCGCTCCGACTGGGACAACGTGTCTCGAGATCGAGTGTATACCGGACCGTCGGGTCTGCATGGAGAAGAAGACCGCAGATACCCGCTAAGGAGCAAATGGGGGAAGCTGTCGGACGAGGAGAAGGAGGAGCAGCGTGTAGAGCTCAATGACGAACAGAAGAAGGACATTGAGAGCTACGGTACGTACACAAAAGAGACGAGATGGGATGAGCTGTCGGACGAAGAGAAAGAAACAGTATGGAGAGAGCTCACCGAGCCAGAGTTAGAGGCACACACGTCCTTGCGATCGTGCCGTCCAGCCTGCGAACTACGGGAAGAATGTGTGCAGTATTTTTTTAAGCCCGGTCGATGCCATTTGCACAGAACTATCAGGCTGGGCCATTATGTAGATCCTGTGGATGTAAATGTCGATGTGGGTGCGGATGCAACAAATCGGACTTCATCAGGGTGGATGGAAGCCCGCATAGATGCTTTTCAGGGTCGGATGATTGAGTGCGAGACCGTCCAAGACTGGATGAGCCATTACGCTAAAACGGAGCTGCCCTAGAGGATTGTACAAGACTGCAACGAAATCTGTCACTCGGACTTGGCAGGCTTGTTCGTCTTCACGACGATCAGATGCTCACCGCGGGGGGGAGGGAGCACAGTACTGTTCTGCCTGGACAAAACAGCAAGGACGTATTGGTACTCCAACTTTACCTTGAGAAGTCAGCTGATCAGCTGATGGTATGATTGATTGATGCCACCAGGTTAGGAACGTAGAAAATCCATGATGGCGTCGCAGTTCGGAAGGCTTTGTTGGACACTCGTAACGTTAGAACCAGGATCAATGAGTGTCCATATCAAGCCTAGTTTCTGTCCGTATCGGTTAGTCAGGACTCTAGCGCGTTAGAGATACCAGGTGTACTTCATGTCCCGCACGTTTCGCCGCGTGCCGCCTACGCTAGAAATGCCAAGCACGGAGCGGAGAATGCGGAGAATCACATCCATGGCAGGCAAGCATTCCACGGCATGGCCGAAGTGCATTCCTACATATAGCTCAATTCCGAATAGATCTGGCCACTGGCCAGTCTTTAAAATGTCACCGATGGACAGAGTTCTCAACGATATGGCCTGGGTAGGATCAGTAAGAGGAAGGAGCGGCGGAGGAGTCAGTAGCCACCGCAATTGTCTAGAGCTGATTGGGAAATCAGTGATGCAGATCCAATGCTCTTCTACATGGATGGAGCTTCGCTTCATCTTAGGCACTTTCCATGACCCCAAACCGCATAGAAGGAGATGCTTCCAGACGCCGACTAGATAGTACAGAAGAACTTCGCAGCACAGCAACCTGCGCAGAATCGGTCGAAGAGAAGGTCTCATAGCATCTGGGGCTCAGGAGTAGACCGTGTTGAAGCTCCCGTGTCAACGTTTTGGAAGCAGCCTACCTACATCCTTATCAGGTCATCTTCGGCCGTATACGAACGCTTGCAGGCAGGTACCGTCCGGTCCAGACGTGCTGCAGGGGCGTCGATGAGACCTAAGAACCTCTTCAATTACGCAGCGGCCCCCGCCCTTGCTGCACTAGTTGCGAGCAGAAGCTCGCGGCCTGCGGAGCTACAGAAGCCGCAAGGATCCCAGGACAAGAAGCATCGACCTCAGAATGTGTAGGGTAGAAGGCCAAGGAGTTAGCCCAATACACGCTCGCTCCCGACGTAACGCAGCAGATGATCCAATGAATCCCGCTTAGGGAGAGCATCGAGATGCCAAGATAGCATCAGCAGACTGAACTAGAGCGTCCACACTGACGGCACAAGTGAGGGGCCGTCAAGACCCTATTACAGGCGCATATACCCCCTGATGCCCTCTCTCTGCCGGGTTGAGGCAGACTGGCGATACGGGAAGAGAAACGCGTAGCGCTATGATCAGTTACACCTCTGGCGGTGACTCCTGGGTGCTCAATCATCGGTTTCTACCGCAAAGTCAATTCTGGGGAGACTAGGGACTGACTAGGCATGCATGTATGGAGTCGCCTACATTCCCTTGGTTCTTGCTAAGCTTGGCATCGACGCATGGGAGAAATGGCTACATTGGGACAACACAAATACTCTGTGTATATAACGAGTGAAGTATCCAACGGTTCAGTGCTCCGACTGCACCGCTATTATCTGCACCCCAAGTTCTATCATAAGATCTTTTGCAACCTACTCTCACTTATCTTTCGATTGTGATCCTGTACCTTTTCGTTAGGACACCATACTTTTGCATTCACTATGAAGGTCGCCTTCATTGGTGTCTCCTTGGCTTTCAGTTTTGACCTTGTCTCTGCCTTTCCAAGACTTGTTGCGCGCACGGACGACCCCTGCTACTGTGTCGACCATGTGAATGACGACAACGGCAAGAAATATGGCGGGTAGGCAAAACCCTTGTTCATTTGTGCTGGTTCATATGTCTTCGTGTAACTAATGCCCCGTCTCCAGTTCTTATGATCTGTGTTCTGAATCTTTCGATGCCGCTTGGCCGAAGCCTATCTACAGTGGAACTGACAACTGCTGGATGACTGCTTATGAGGACGACGAGTGTGGCTACCAGTACGGCGGGTATGTGTTCGCGGTCCGAGCTCAAAATCTGACCGTTCCGAGCATTTTCTAACGCGTACAGCGCATACAATTCCTGCAATGGCGGAACGTTCAAGAAAGCTTACAAAAAGCCAAAGTGCAAGACGAATGAGGGAAGCGGCAAGACAAAGACGAAGACTCTAGCTACAATTTCGTCCACCAGCACAAGTGCCACTATCATATCCGCTCAAAAGACGACTAGCAGCCGGAAGTCAACCTCTACGCCAATGCGATCGAGCAGCTCAACTTCACCCTCCTCCAGGAGCCCGACGTCCACCTCCTCGTCGACGCGATCGAGCAGCTCTAGTACGAAGAGCAGCTCCACTTCGTCCTCTAGCACCC